TTTGACTACGTGGATTACATGAGGTCCATACACTAGTGGGCTCGCGGACTTCCGGTGCCTAACAGCGCTTTTAAAGACAATGTAGATACTAAACTAGTTATTAAACAGAACTTGTTAGTTTTTTGTATAAATCAATCTGGTTTTGTTACCATCGAGCCGCCCAAGTTTCCGAAAGGCAAAAGTGGTCTTAAGTACGCACAACTTCGATCTGTCATTTCTTCGCTAGTAAATATCCTACTTTAGGATTAGTCATTTTAGAAGGGACAACAAAGTAATAACTAAATCTTCGAATCATTTAATGTGGCTGATTCAATTTTACAAAATAAAAGGACTGAGACTGACGTTGAATGAGTTTGTGTAGAACTCTTTCAGTTGCGTACAGTAGGGAACATATGTGGTATCCTTCCTCATTTTACGGTTGTCTATACTACAAACAAGGGTTTTCTTGTTTATAAACTCGATCAATTAGCCTTCAGAGCCTATATAGGGTGTATTCATTTAGGAGAAGTGAAATATCTTCGGGTGGATCACAGCAACGACTTGAGGGAAGCAAGGAAACACAGCATCCATAAGATATTCATCCAGCTAAATAAAACTTCACTTTAGATTTAACAGGGTACCAAAATTTCATATTTCTGTTCTGTACTATGAACTAGGTAATTAGGTTCGTACCATGATAGATAGATAGTATGTTAGTAGTGTTAAGGTAGTTCACAAAAAATTATTTGAAATGCTAATTTCCAATGCATGCATTACGTTCTTGTATCAATTTGAATGCATCTGAGTTTTATCCTTTCCAGAAGGTTGCCTTTCATGCATCTTCCAAGGAACCTTATTCATCGCCGTTACCATTAATTATTACCACATGCGACTTTGCCTCGTGCTACATAATCATGATCGGGTGATTAAAAAAAAATGCATTGAGAAGCTAATTTTCGAGGTGCTTTCAAACCCACATGGCTATAAAAGGAAATATACGCAAGTTTTGGGGAAATATCATCCCCAAATATTTGTAAAAAACGCTAAATTATATTATGCCAGTTAGTGAAACTTCCTTTTTGACGGAGCAAATGAAAATCTACTAAAAGACATAAAGCGCACTTTTAAAAATCACTGTCCAGCAAATCAGAGAGTAGTCGTGCTTAAAGATACAAACTGCTTAAATTTCAGAGTATCATTTTCTAAGTTAATGGATTTGCCTAGAAATTTAAAATCGGTCATTAACAAATAAGGAAATTTACTAGACCACAGAAAAATTCTTTTATTTTCTTATTCTCAAAGAATCACTCCCCGTAATTTGCAAAGCTTGTGCATAAATGGATATGAAGTGTGAAATTTAGTTGCTATCAAGGCACTGCGCAAGTAACGCTCAAAGAATAATACCTATTTTTTAATCCCTCGCTAGTAAGTGCCTTGAAAATCTCATCACGTAATTGCCTTATACAGCACAATAAGCAATGCACTTAATTCTGTCATGTGATCCTTATTATCCTCTGATTTTTTCACTTATCTTTTGGGAGAATCAATTGATGAGTGAGTGGACAAATGACTGACTGGAAGCGTTGCGGAATCGACTGTACGCATTTTCGTGAGTATTTTAACGCTGTTAGGCAGGTTCTTGTTTCCGACACAAAAAATGACCATAGCGGCATTGCAGACCGATATGACTCAGTGACAAGAGAAAGTAATTATACTATTGGGTTTCCAAAGTATGGTACGGCGAGCACCCTCCTGGTAAAGTCCTATCCAGAAACTGGACTAATGGCATGAAAGTCTCAGCGAATTCGGTGGTAAAACTCCATTTTATAGACAGATTTTACCAAAATTTAATAAAATTTGCAAAGCAAAATACCAGATTTTGGGCTTGATCTGATATGTAAAAAGAACTGAGTCATTTTTACCCATGTGCTGTTGTAGCCGCTATTGGCGGATTGTGCAATAACAGGTCTTCAAATTGGCACTGGGGAGAGGTAACTAACGCTTGATTTAGTGCTCTTAGCAACGTCATAACACTATAAATTTGGTTTCTTTCGTGAATTTTATGTCTATTTTTGGAAACGATGAGCTTCCTACATTACCAGTCGAAAAAGCAATTTGAAATCTACATTAATAACATCGAAAACGAACGTCTTAAGGATGTAAATTAATTTAAAAAGATTGCATTATACATACATATTAGGTTAATAACTTTATAATGCACTGGAGAGCGCCGCAATTCCCAAGAATTTGCTGCCAAATTTGGGCTAAATGAATCATGTCACTTAAAAAAATAATTGCATGTACAAAGTATGAATACTAAAAATAAGAAATACAAACTAGGCTCAACTTTACAAATCTAAAATAGTAACTAATGCACAATACATACTTTTTGTTTTTTTTAAACGTATACGAATCAATAGAAAGTAGTCACGGAGGCATACTAACTCGAATTAGATGTCGGCGTCAGGAGTGTAAGATAATTGTTCTTGACCAATTTAATAGGTCCAACATAAATTGAAAAATTAAGCAAATCGCCAATTCAAGAACAGTTTTTAGATAGCAAAGAAGATTTTTAAGTTTTAAACGCATACCTCAATCAGAAACTAAAAACGATTTATAGATCTAGCTTGGCACAAACAAAGCATCATAAGCTGAACAAAATGTATATCATTTACAACATGCCCAAAAAAAGATAAGCGACAACGTAACCAACGATTAAACAACATTTTGTTGAAATTTAATAAATTCAAAAGGAAGTTGTTTGCAAATAGAATGTTAAAAGACCTTGTTAAAAAACAAAAAAAGATAAAATAACTACTTAAAAGATCTTACATAGTAATCTTGATTTATGACAGCAGAAGAATGTCTCTAGTAGCAATGGAAATTGCTTCCTTGGGCAGATTTTACCATCGCGCTGTTATTCAGACACTTCAAACAAATTGAGACCTTGGTCGCAATAAAAGTGTGACTACTAAAAAAAGTTGATACCTGCAAAAAGTCTAAACATAAACCTCGGTTCTAAAAAATTTAGGCAATTTATTTTTAGGGTACTACGAAATGATTACAATGCTGCTCATGGCCTTCATGATATTTTTTAACTTATCTATAACTGACATAAACTGAAGCTTGCAACCTCCTGGCGTTTTTTAAGGTTCTTGAATCTGTGCAAATATGCGGCATTGCTATGCGTTTTTGAAATAACTAATTAAGATATATAAATCCCAATTCTCTTGCTTTAAATTTTTTTTAATGTTGTAGCCTGCATTTCCTGCTTGGGTCAAAGAGGGATGTAGGACCTTTTGTTAGATATTTTGTTTTCTACAATGATTTAAACATTCTGTCTTTTTAAACACATTTTTAGCACAATTATTTCGGACATTTTAAATGCATGTTCTCAGATGGGTTAACTAAGGTCATATTTGAGTAAATCCTGAATACTTCCTTTCGAGCATACTGCTTACTGAGAATGCTTTTTACCTTGATGATTTAAGTGCCTGTTGGTTTCGAGCCTCCTTATTTTTGGTCATGCCAATCTTCAAAGGTATGTGGATTTTGAGATGTGACTGGAATTTAGTTAATGTAAAATGGAATTCGCAGAAATTTAATGACGTCGAGGTCAATACTGACTCTCCTCCTGAAGATTTCAAGGCCCTACTGTTTTCCCTAACCGGTGTTCCACCTGAACGTCAAAAAGTGATGATGCCTGGTGGTCTTCTTGGCGATACTTCTTACGGCCAGATAAAGCTGAGAAATGTGCGCTTCGTTTCTTCCATTTCTTATTTGCTAGGGTGCTACCGTAATGTTAATGGGTTCAGCAGAAGAGTTGCCCGCTAGCATCACTTCAAAACCTGTCGTCGAAGGGTTAATTACACCTTTAATGCCACCAAAAGCAGACCATTCAGATGTGCCAAGGCTTCCCATCGGTATGGCAAACCTTGGCAACACTTGCTACATGAATAGCGCACTTCAGCTCCTGTTCACTATTCCAGAAATCAGGCTTTTCATTCAGAGGTATTTCTCATCTGTCTTTTACGACCCTCCTTTTTTTGCCTCTTAGAGCTCCACTACAATTAGATGACTCCCTGCCACAAAAGCTAAAGGACATGGTTACTGCCTTGCGTTTGATCTTCAACGGTCTCGCATTTTCTTCTTCCCCTATTTTTCCGCTCATTTTCCTCGAATCACTCCAGTCTGCTTTTCCACAATTCGCTACGCGTGCAAATGCCGAAGCGTCGACTTCGGAAGGCAACGTTGAACCGATCTACCAACAGCAAGATGCCAACGAGTGCTGGGTTGAAATCATCCGTGTTCTGCAACAGCTGTCGGCGGATGCAAAGGTTATGACTTCGTCTCCGACAGTAGGCCATATTTTTCTTTTTTTTTGGCGCTTTGAATCAATCCTGATGACGTAGTAAAACCTACTTGTTTGGTGCACATAAAGACTGGCAGGCTTGGTCTCGGCAGGAGATCAAGCTGTTAATACCGAGAGGACACTTATTCGATCTCGCTCTTTTGTGCAGGGCTTGAATTTTGAGCATCTGCTGGAAGTGAGAATGGTTTTGACTCCCCTCTTCCATGACTTTTCTGCCTAATAACTATTTGAAGAAATGTGGGTTATTTTATCGACTTTACTGTAATCGTCACTGTGGAGCCTAGTTATAGCTGAAGAAATGGTGCTCCTAGGTCTGGGAGGTTACAAGCCTGTTAAGAATACCATGGCGTTAAAATGGTATCATCAATTTTATCTCATAGCCCTGTCCTGAATCCTTTGGCACAACGACAGGTTGGAATCCCGTAGATCGATATCTCACTGGCTCCCTAGTCTCCACACTAACCTGCACGGAGAGTGAAGAGGAGGCTCCACAGGAAGCTGTCGACACGTTTTCTCAGCTATCCTGTTTTATCATTAAAGGTAGCTCTATTCTGATTTTCTGATGCTGACATGTATTCCTTTTACTGAGTGACCTTTTTAACCCTATCAGATGTGAAGTATCTGCACACCGGCATTCGCAACGGCTTGGAGGGAACGCTGACAAAGAATTCCGCCACTTTAGGCCGTGAGGCGGTCTACAAGAAGGTCTCACGTATCTCTCGCCTTCCTGGCTATTTGTGCATCCAATTTATGCGATTCTTTTACAAAGAGAAGGAAAAGGTTAATGCCAAGGTGAGCAGGATGATTTAGATCTATCCAATGGTGATAGAAAGAATCCACAATTATGATAAATGATTATTTTATAGCGTCTTATCTTTGTCTATTTTTTTTCTGAATCAGCAAATCTTGTTTCGTGTCTGGCCTCTGTTTTTGACGGAATCAATGAAGCGTCTTTGTATTAAATTCGTCGTTCAAATTAGTTGCTTTCTCGCATTTCAGCCTTGTTCAACCAAATGTTTTGTAGGAATACTGACCTCAATATATAATCGACTGTTCTTTCAGCTCTCTTAATACTATACTGTTCTGTCGTCTACCATGACTAATTTTCGGTTATCTTAGCACCTTTTCAACCTTTACCAATACAGTAGGCTTGTGCCACATTATCTGCCAAGTGCGCTCTGTCAGTGACGTCACAGATCAAAGTGTTTTTTCGCAGACTTTTGTGGTGTATAAGGGGTTTTACAAGCCTTCCGAAAGTCCATTGAACAAAAGCTCCTGAATATATTTAAATATAAAAGCCTTCAGTGTATTAGCCTGTTTGTCACTTCATTCAGGGAAGGTGTTCAATTGTTTTTCATGTCTCCTCCCCGTTGTTTATTAGTTCTGATGGAATAATGGGAGAATGGTCTCACTTACCAAACTTTCTTGCTCTCATTCATTTAATAAATCATTTTTTCGTATCCTATGGATTAGTTTGTGATTTGTTGCATAATTCGACGGACTTCACTGTTCTACTTTAAGCGCCAACTCTGGGATGGTTATAAGCATTAAGTCGTCTGTCGTGTGGAGCGCTATAAAATCTTCTCACTCATCACTTCAATGCGTTTGCTTATATTTAACTAAAGTTTATGTATTGAATCACCGTTTGTTGTTGTTTAGAGTCGACTGAATCATTGCTTCCCCTGATAGACCATCTTGTTTATAATGTAAGACATCATAAATGATTTAATTGTTCCAGATACATTGTGTCACTTTATTGAATCACAACTTTTCTGGGATGAAATTGTGGTTTTGTTGCGCAATCTCCCTAATTTCATCACTGGATTAAATTGTGCAATTTCGATTTACATGCTGTGAGCCGTTTCCCATCACCTTTGTCTCAAGTTTATTTGTGGATATACATCGCAGTTCATGTGTTTTCGCTCACTGTATTTGCTTGGGTGCTCATTTGATGCACCCCATTGGATTTTGGCCTGTCAAGGATGGGGACATTCAGATGTAGGCCTTCTGGAATTGTTGTGATAGTGTGATTATCTGATGTTATTACTCCAAGTTGGCAAATTAATTGCATTTGTGACCAATTTTCCGGGTGAATTTTGCTACGTCCAATGGTAAAAGTTGAATTTTCTTTGTCCTTGTTGAGCATTTACAAAGACCTACGATAAAATGCTGTTTTCCTAAAATCTCGACCTTGTGAACCATAACGTTAGTTTATCGTAAGCGTAATGGATACTTAAGCCTAATTAGTAGATATGCTGCCTCACAATAGATCTTAAAGGACGTCAAGTTTCCCTTGAGCTTGGATCTCTTCGAGTTCTGCACCAAGGAGCTGCAAGCCAAACTATTACCCCAACGTGAGAAAGCTCGTGCTGAAGACGATGCTGAAGCGATGGCTGCGAAGAGCCGAAAAATCACAAATGCTTCGAAACAAGGTTACTATGCGATACTATTCTCTTTTTTCTTTGATTTACTCATAACGGCATTTTGAACCATTCCAGAGAAACCACCTAATCCTGAGGACAATCCGGAACTGTACGACCCCTATTGGTTGGGGGATGACCTTGGATCAAATAATACGGGATTTTATGAATTGCAGGGTGTGGTTTCACATCAGGGCCGCATGAGTATGGGTCATTATGTTGCTTGGGTTAAGCGCAAAGGTCTGCATTTGTTCTCCAACTTAGTATATGCTTATTCTCTTTATTTATTTCTTACTGTTTCTGGCCTGTAGGCAAATGGTTTAAATTGGACGATACAAAGGTGTCCGAAGTGGATGAAGAAGATATTTTGAAACTTTCTGGGGGCGGTGAATACCATAGTGCCTACATTCTCCTCTATGGCCCGCGTCGTGTCAAGAAGGTTATTCCCGAGACGTCCATGGATGTTCATCTGGCCAGTTAAAAGGTGTAGAAATGTGTTTCAAGAATTTTTTTGCCTTCAATCACCTTACATTTGAAGGCTACTTCAGTGTTTGATGAAGTCAACTTGATTTGAGAAATATACTCTACTTACGAAGTTGTCCTTAAACGTTATTTAACAGGCTCGGGTCTCAATGCTGAAGGGTTTGCTTTCACTGCGATACAATGCAACGTTAATTAGTTCTGCAAAACTATCTACTTTTACTCATGCCTCTAGATTTTAGGACTTACTTTTCTCTTACCGGTTGTAGATAATAGCTGTGTAAACTTAGAAGTGGTGATTCAATCAATTCCCTTTTTGATAAGTGATTGGATGATAATCACTCACAAGTTTGTTGTCTTAGTGACTGGAAATTGAGAGTACCTCTATTTTTCACTTCCGTTAACAGTAAAAGCAATGCACTTACACACATTTTTGTAAATAAACTTAGCTACCGCTCAAGACAATCAGTAGTGCCAACTGTCAGACCGACGGCGTTTAATCGTGGCTCCGTTTCCGTGCGTTTGATTAATTGTCACTGGGGGGAGATAGAATTTTACAGCTGCGTCAGTATGATTAATTACTTCGTCAGTCTGTGTGTGTGTGTGTGTGCAGGCAAAACTCGTGTCCCTTTGATGGTAAATTTTCAATGTCGACATTAATTTAAATTAGCAATAAAGTTGAAATCTAAGCTGCTTTCTATTTTCGAATATTCATACTTTAGTGTACTAGCTAGCTCAAAAGATTATGGGGACTTTTCCCAAATAAATGCGCTTTTATTCTAGTTTTTTTGGGTTAAAATGAGGATGTCGTTGTTGGTAACTTACATAGAGGTAAACTTGAAGGTACGAAAAGGTGCTTTGTGCAGAGCGACAGGTAACATTATGAAAAGGAAGAAAAGTTGGTTAATTAGAATTTCTCTTTTGTCCTTTTCGAGTTGCTGATCCTTGGAGAAAGTGATTGGTGTGACGCGAGTTCGTCCACTTTACGGGTGGACTTTTGCTCGGCTGTAATGCCACAAGAACCCTTCGTAAGACTTGGATAGCATTTGAAAAAAAGTACGGGAGCTGAATGAAGCGGTCTGGAAGACTCTTCCTCCAACAATTGATTTGAGTCTGGAAATTATGCGTTAATTGATAATAAAAGACTTCAGTAATTTTCAGTTCGTTCTTTGTTTTTTTCCACTTTATGAAAGGGCGGGATTTGTTTAATGACTCTGTTTACTATCCGACTTGTGATGAGGAATGAATTAGGTAAAGCAACATTCCTCAAGTGAATGTACACACCTCTGCGAAATGCACTCAATTTCATCCTCTGGAGGACAGCGCTTGATCGCAGACAGAGAAGTTCGCCTGTTAAAAGCTTACTCGATGCAAACAGAGTTTTATACAGTAAAATACCTCAAAACAATCAAGACTGGTCAATCTGAAGGCGAAAGATTAGCTCAAAAGGGTGTAATAAGGAGAGTTGCTACCTCATCCTAGTTCTACCTCTGCTGGAGAATAAGCCTGAGACAGACATCTAAACAGACCGAGAGTATTAATAGAGACGGGAACAAAAATTACCAGGGTTAGGTCTTTCTGGTTTATATTGCATTTCATCCCGTTACTGGAAAAGTTGAGACTTGAGAAGTTTGTATTGCTCAGTGGCATCGGAAGATCTTCAGGTTTGGGCCAATTTTATCACCTCATCATAATTGAGCCATTATTCTGTGGGATTTATTTAAATTTATCCATTTAATGAAATTTGAAAAGTTATATGTTTGTGTATAAGAGGGATGAGAGAACTATAAAGGAGGCCAGGACTATAAATCACTAGGTTTTTAACCAAAGGGAGGAGAATGAAGAGCGTGCTTGAATGTACAAAAAATTCAAACGGATATCGTGTTTCCACACCAGTTCACTAATCTTACAATCGCAAGTAAGTTCGTGGCCTGGTAGGCAAGTATATCAAGTTTTTGAAAAAAGTCAACAATCCTTCTCATTATGATATTCATCCTTAGGGATGACAGACGTCGTATTAATTGACGCATAATTGATGGGAAATCTGCCTGTCAAAGCAATCCGTCCATCAGATTATTATTGTCTGACCGGACAGGAAGATTAGTACAGTGG